TGACTATGAGTTGGTCTTGTCCGTGCCTTGCAGAGAGCGAGAACAGATAGCCCCAGCGGTATTGGATGCCCGCCTGTTGTAGGGCTGATGTCACTGGGCGCAGGGCTCTCCTGGCTTGCAGGGTGTATCTGGATAAATCTTGATAGGCGGAGATAGTCTGGCCTTCCATGCGGACGGTCCCCATGCAGCGGGCTGTGCGTAGTATTTCTTCTTTAAGGTGATAGTTGTCGAGGCAGCATATGATGTCCCTGGGTGGTTCTTCTGGTGCAGGTAGGGGTCTTAGTGCCCTATGTGCACGGACCAGGCCGATTCTGGGTACTTGTTGGCCCCCCAGTATGTGGGTGAAAATTTGCCTAAGCAATTCTGGCACGTTCTCTGAGGGGCCCCCCTCCCTCGCCCCGCGGACTCGCAGGTTCAGTCTGCGGCCGCGGTTATCCAAGTCGTCAACCCACGTGGTGAGGTATGCTATGTCAGCCTCTTGGGTCATAACTGCTGTGTTAGTTTGCTCTAAATCTGTTCTCAGTGCCCTGGTCTCGGTTTCTGCCACCGCCATGCGGGCCTCCACATTCGCCATGTCGGCGCGCAGCTGGGCCACCTCCTCGCGTACCACCCGCCCAAGGCGGTCTGAGAGTGCCTCAAAATCTGACTTGGTAAGTAGGTTGGGTATAATATCCCTCCACTCACCATCTTGCTGCTGCTGCTGTGACTCTGATAGCGTTGGGGAGAACCTGGCTGGTGTGGATGGGAGTGATTCAATGATCTGGCTTGCGGCCTCCATCTCCCGTTGTGGTGTCCGAGCCCGGGGCGCAGCTTGCAGGTATGTCCGGATCGTTTGATCTCCCCCGTGTCCCGGGGGTCTAGGGGTGCTGCCAGGGTCCGTCTGCCTCTTTGTGCGGCCCATCTGCGGTGTGTGAGTTTGCTGAGACGGCTTGTGTGGAGCGATTAGTGCGGGCGCCACGAGGAGCTACGGGTTTAAGCCGCCATCTTCGTCGGCCGCCGGACACGCCCCCTTGTTTTGTTTTTGAATGTCAGAAATGTATATTTGTGAATGTTGAGATGTTATATTGGTTTCACTGGTAATAATAAATAATTGAAATGGGTATATATTTGTTTTTTGTTAAGTTGCCTAATAATTATGCACAGTAATAGTCACCTGCACACACAGATATCCCCCTAACATAGCTATAACTAAAAACAAACTAAAAACTACTTCCAAAAATATTCAGCTTTGATATTAATGAGTTTTTTGGGTTCATTGAGAACATGGTTGTTGTTCAATAATAAAATTAATCCTCAAAAATACAACTTGCCTAATAATTCTGCACTCCCTGTATAAACAGCACAAGACAGACTGGCTTCAAATGGAATAAATAGTGTCCTGATGCTAACCTCAGATAACAGCAACTAAAACCTTAGCAGGGAGAATGTAAAGTTCTTTTTTTGACCACCAGGTCCCTTCCAAAACTGAGATTGACTTCATGTTGTGACCTTGCGCAGGAAACATAAATTAATGCTCCAGGAATAATATATCAACGATACGACTGCACATTAGTTGAGTAGTGGTTGATACATACACTATTTGCCTTTTGTGCCTGAAGTTCAGTGCGGTGTTGAAGAATTGTGTGTTGTATGTAAGATGCCATTTCTGCCATTTTCTTTATCTGGGTTCAGAATTCTAAATCTGGATTCAGTTTTCTAATTCTAATTCTGGGTTCAGTTTTCTAATTCTAATTCTAGGTTCAGTTTTCTAATTCTAATTCTGGGTTCAGATTTTTAATTACATCCTCTAGCTTCCAGGCTACACAACTAGGCCATGCACAGCAGCTGGGACTCCATGTTCATCTACTGCTGGTGCGCTGCTCAACTCAAATGAAGCTTCTCTTGGCTTCCCAATGTAATTCTTCTATTCGATAATATTCCCAACACAGTTGATGAAAGCCTTCTGTTCTGAAGAGAAAAGCAAAATAATAAACGTGCTCCCCAGCACCAAGAGAACTCTTTCATTTTAGAGATGGGTTGTGGCCAGTGGTGGGCTGTTCTGAGAAAATTTAGGTGACTTGCCAATAACAATTTATGTATCTAAAATGTAAATTAGAACAAGAACAATGTATCTTATTTACACAGACTGATAAACACGTATATTGTAGTTTAAAGACAAATTACTGCGCGTATTATTGCTGTGGAGCTATGCTATACACACACACTAGATTTATTAAGGACAGAAAAGATTGGGAGAGGGATTTTGGCCCAGAATAGAGACTGTCCCTTCTAAATAGGGGCACCTGGGAGGTATGTACGTATGTTTCTTACATTGCAGCTTTCAGCATGGTTTACACTTGTCATCATCTGTATGGTTCTATCTTTTTATTCTTTATCATTATTTCTTTTATTGTTGCTGCCTCCCCATGTCTGCAATGAATCTAAAAGTTCACAGAGTATAAAAAATCACTATCATCACTATATACAATCCATGTATTGAGACCAACATTTCTGGTTCACTCCGTTGTTAAGTAATCATAAATAAACATCAGAGTTACAAAGTAAACATATACAACTCATGCCAGTTAAGTCTATATTGACTAGAACTCTCATGATGCTCAGCTTGACTCTTGGCAGACCAGTCACTATAGGAATCATAGATCAAGAGGAAACGAAGCACAAGGGGTTAGATAAACTTGCCTTAGATATCATTTTTAAAGAGAGAGTTTTTTTTATTTAAATAATTAAAAGGTGCCTACTATTTTATGCCACTCTGGTAGTGGTAGTTAAATTATTCGTACTGATTTTTACGTAGACTTGTAATGATACAGTTTATCTTAACAAGTGTGTTCCCATCCAAGCTTACAAGTTTTGATTATCCACTTCATACTTTCTTCAGTAATTTATTCCATCAAGCAGTTTTCGTCAGCCAGCAAGACTTTTCAGTTTTACAGCCATGTAAACTAAATATACAAGGACATGTTTTGATTAAAAAAGGTTTTAACAGAAGCTTACGTATTTGCAGATAAAGGCATCATACAACGTGTATGATAAGAACTCTAATCTTAGCTATGGATAGGATTAGTATAAATTGAGAGAGGGAAACCTATTTGGTCTTCTTTCCCCACTTAGTTGCATACAGTCACATTCCCCCACACTCTCGCCCATTCACCTGGTTACATAGAGCTAACCCCCTAGTAATGTGCCATCTACCCAGTCACATCCCACTTACACACCACTCACTTAAAGGGACACTCCAGGCACCCAGACCACTCCTGCCCATTGGAGTGGTCTGGGTGCCAACTCCCACTACCCTTAACCCTGCAACTGTAAATATTGCAGTTTTCATAAACTGCAATAGTTACCTTGCAGGGTTAACTCCTCCTCTACTAGACAGCCACTAGAGGTCACTTCAGGGTTTATAGCACAGATTTTCTGTCTGCACGCACGCCTCTCTGTCCGTCTGCACGCACTCCCATCCATCTGTCTGTCTATACGCACGCCCGCCCACATGCCCGTCCGTCTGCACGCCCGCATGTCTGTCAATATGTATATGTATGTGTATATATTTCAGTATGTATGTATGTGAGTGTTTGTATGTATGTCCTTATGCATGTGTGTCTGTACGTTAGTATGTGTCTGTGTGTATGTCTGTTTCAGTATGTGTGTGTCAGACATATGCACATATATGCACACATATTGTTTCAGTATGTGTGTATCTTTGTTTGTGTGCATCTGTGTCCTTTGGTTTCAGTGCATGCATTTGTGTCTGTGTGCATCTTTGTGTGTATATCTGTGTCCTTTTGTATCAGTGCGTGTATTTGTGTCTGTGTGTGTATTCCTGTGGGGAGATTTAGAGGCAGGACCTGGGGGTGGGATTTGGAGGCGGTCCCCGTGGGGCCCAGATTGAGCTGTGTTAGGGGCCCCAAAATTTCTGATGGCGGTCCTGTACACACTGCATCCATGACACATACCGCATCCACTACACACATTCTACATCCACTATACACACAGCACATTCAGTATACACACACACCTCATCTTTGTGGGCGGACTTGGGGCAGGCAATGTGGGTGGACTCGGGGTTGGTCCCTCAAGGGCCCAGACCTTGAGCTGTGTCAGGGGCCCCCAAATTTCTGATTGCAGCCCTGGGGCCCTTATATAAAATCACACAGGTATCACACATCATAACAATACGTAATGATGTCATGACACTCCACATTTTTAAGTGTTCTTGCATAGCAAGACCACTTAATGTTATCTCACATATATATCATTATTAAGTGTTCTTGCATAGCAAGACCACTTAATGTTATCTCACATATATATTATTATTAAGTGTTCTTGCATAGCAAGACCACTTAATGTTATCTCACATATATATTATTATTATTATTATTAAGTGTTCTTGCATAGCAAGACCACTTAATGTTATCTTATTATTATTAAGTGTTCTTGCACAGTACACTACTTAATGTTATCTCACATATATAGTTATTAAGTGTTCTTGCATAGCAAGACCACTTCTTAATGTTATCTCACATATATATTATTATTATTATTATTATAGCAAAATTTGCCACCCTAACTCCTCCCACAGTTTTTACACTACATAGACAAAAATTTACCAAAACGTGCAGATTGTTCCCGACCGGATTGCTATTACTTTGTGGAACGTTTCGCCGAATGGTTCACGGAATATCGTCGTTCTTGTGGTGAAATTTGTCCCATAGGAATGAATGGCAAAGCTAGAGTGGGAGCTGGCAAAAGCTGAAAAATCAGGACATGATTTCTAAACTGCCACCACTCCCCTATTTTCAGGCCCACCTACACAAATCTTATATCAAAACGTTCAGCTATCCCTGCTGCCACTAAACATGTCAACGTCTAAGCCGTAGTCCTGATAGTTTTCACAATAT